GTATATATCTCAGGCCAAACATCAGTGACACAGTATTGTATAATGGAACAAAGAGAATTGTCTAGAACCAGATTCTTATCATTTCAGCTCTGACACTTTACCTGTATGATCTTGGACAAATTGATCATTCTAACTAGGAACATCTGAGTGATGCGGTGGTCATGTACTGCTCCAGCAACACTGAGTCCGTATGGGTTATTACTGATTCCATTCCCTAGCTGATCTGTACATACCAGGTGTGCACACCCATGACCCTATGACTTTGGATGGCAGGGAAGGCTCGGGGAATTTAGCAAGAGACTGTTGATGGTACCTCTCTCTCTCTCTCACTCTTCTCTCTCTCCCTGTGTCTTGCTCTTGTGTAAGAAATAAGTTTAAAAACTAATAACTATTAAATGAAGTTGTATTAAATGAGTTATAATATGTAAATAAAAGTACAGGAGACATTCAAATTCCTCAACTTGTGCAGCTAAGGCAAGGAGTGTGTATTCAGATTAAAAACAACAACAACAAAGCAAAACAATAAAACTGTTACCAATCAATTTTCACACAGTAGAAATTTAAAAATTAGAAAGTGGGATAAAGTATAAACACAATTAAGTACAGTCAGCCCCCTGCGTCTACAGGTTATCCATCAGTAGATTCAATCAGTTGCAGCTGCAGATTGAAAACACTCCCTTACTGCTGACGAATACTATATAGTTAGGCCAATAATGGTTGCATCTATACTGAACATGTACAGATTTTTTTTCTTTTCATTATTCTCTAAACAATGCAGGATAACAATCATTTATATAGCATTTATATTGTATTAGGTATAATAAGTAATCTAGAGACAATTCCAAGTATATGGGAGGATGTGCATGGGTTATGTGTAAAGTACTACACCATTTTATATATAGGGCTTTAGCATCTATAGATTTTGATATCTGCAGGGGTCCTGTAACCAATCCTCCAAGGATATGAGAGTCATTTATACATCTAAAATTGAAATATTTTTATAATGACTTCACTCTCTTGGGCCAGCCCCATAGCTTTGTGGTTAAGGGAACTGGATCACATATGGCTGATTAGGGTTCTAATCCCAGTCCTGGCATCTTGAAAAAATATGGTGGGCACATATGCATACATGTCCAAAATGGAGATGTGGAAGAAAAGGGATTGCAGCTTGACTACAGCCTATCGGGGTGCTTTTTCTCTCTCTCATCTCTCTTTGAAGAGTACGTATGCCCTCTGGCAATTAAAACAATAACAAAGATATTTTAATATTTTTGATTATAATTAATCTTCAAAACAGATAATTTTGAGCTACTTTTTCTTGTGATGAAACATTCATGGCATGTCTGGCAAACAAACTTTTGCCAAATTCTTCAATAAAAGTAGTTTTTCTCATATGAAGTATAAGTAGAATGAAATATTTTCAATAAAATATATATAGGGCCAGCCAATGGTGTGGTGGTTAGGGCATCTGGATCCCACATGGCAACTGCGTGGTTTGAGTCCTGGAATCAACAGCTTGAAAAATGCAGCAAGCATGTGTGCATTAATGCCCAAAATCCTGAAAGATTTTGGGAAGAGAAGGAATTGTGGCATGGCAACCCCCATAGGGGGTGCTTTCTCACTTTCTTCTCTCTCTCTCTTTTTCTTCAGTGAGCACATGTGCCCTCTGGCAAATATTTTAAATATGCATGTATATTATAGTTTATAACATTGTTTACATCTATCTATAGTATTGAAGCAGGCTAGCTTGATGTTTAACAAGACTGCAGCCATTCTGAAATTAAGAAAAATCTGACCAAGTGTTGAGTTATAGGGAAATCTGCTTGCAGAATGGTCAGAAGAGAAACCAGGAATGAGTATTTGAAGCAAAAAAGAAATCAGGATAATAACTCAGGGGAAATCAATTGGCTCTGATTGATTATAGTGAGGTATAATTTACATACAGCATTGTATGTATGGGTTTAGGGTGACGTTGGAAGGCCTAGAGTTTTGGACTTCTACTGGTCAATAGACTAGGGATTCACCTTAAGAGTTCTTTCTATAAAGGCAGCTAATCATTGTGTACTATACTTTTATTCCTAAAATCAGTCTGGTGGGATATTGACACCTTCCTGCTGCTCTTAATGATGTAGCCTAGTGGCTGAGAGTAAGGGCAGACAACGGACTGTCACCACAGTGACTGCTGCTGTCTGCTCCTCACTGCAGAACAGAGAGAAAGCAATCATGAGGAAAGGACCATGCTTTGCTTAAAATTATTTCTGTTTAAGCAAGCAGGACGGTGTTTAATTAGTTTTGTAAAGAGTCGTAGCCAAAAGGCTTTGTAAAATGGTTGGGGG